CCATCGCCAGCCTCCGCCGCGGCGCACCCGGGCCCGGACCCCGCAGCCGCGCGCAACCCTTGGCGCGATGGACCCGGCGCTGGCCGCGCAGATGAGCGAGGAGGTGGCGGAGAAGGTGCTCAAGTACCGACGGGACGAGTCAGGATGGAAGATTTGCCGGGAAGGCGTGAGTGAGGAGCTGGGCAGGGAGGGGTCGCGTGCGCCCCGGCGTGGGGTCTCCGAAGACCCCGGGCTCCTCCTCTTCCTGCTCCTTTCTGCTGTCTAATACCCTGGAGCTGGACTGGGGAGGGGTAGATTCCATTGAGGGTTGTTTCCTTAAAAAATCCTGGGCCTGTTGTGGGCACTAGGACCCCGGGAGATACGTATCTGTCCCTTTCATTGAGTGACTTGCCCGAGGTCACCTGGCTGGCAAATGGTGGTGAGGCTCCAGAGACTGCCCTCATCTTAGCATGAGCCTCTCCCCGTTCCCAGGAGGGTGGAACGGGAATAGTTTTTGCTTATGCGAGGCTTCTACTTTTTAAGGAATAGATGGAAATTGCTTGAGGAGACAAATGGCATGGTGGCTTTTAGGAGGTTGAAAAACACCCAGGGCTCTTCGAATCAGCCAGTTGAGATCACATCTCTTGAGGCTCCAGACTGCTCTTCTGTACAGCACAGGGGATTGGGTCAGGTGATCTCCCAGAGCCTTTCTAGCTCTAAATTCTACGATTCTGTGCCTTTTGACAGAATGGAGTTTCAGTTTCCTGGAGGCCATCTATGGAGTTTCCAGGGAACCTGTAAGTGCATGCCTTGTCAAAGTTTGTCAGAGGTGCTGCTCCTTCTTGATGTCTCTGTGGGTTTGCTTCCTAAAATAATTCCAATCTACCCTAGCACCCTGGAATCCACTTGCCAGTTATCTTCTGGAAAAGCTTCTGTTATTATTATCTAAATCATTTCCAGCAAACTGTATCTCGTGAAAACTCACGGCCCGTTTCCGCAGGTCTGGGGGGAGGTGGGCTGGTTAACTCTCAGCCCCTGATCTGCAGGCGTGTCATAAAGAGCGATGACAGATGTGGCAGCTAGTCCTTCTGTATGATCCCAGGATCAAAAACTTTGGTGGGTTCCTGGGCTCACATTCCTTCTTGTGCTCCAGGTACCGGGGAGAAGGCATCGTAAACGCGACACCAGAGAAGGTGTGGGGCTGCATCAAGCCACTTGCTGGGACCCTTCGAGACAAGTGGGATGAGAACGTGAGCAGCTTTGAAATTATCGAAAGCCTCACTGATGTAAGTCTTTCCGAGCGCTGTTACCCTAGCAAGTAACCTGACCCTGTCCCTCTGGAGGGGGTCAGGGACACCTTTTGGCAAGGGCAGGACCCCGCACAGCCCCGGTCTGCTGCAGGTGGGAAACCCTGTGACCAGATGGGTGGAAAAGTCCTAAGCGGAGCTCAGAGAAATAGCAGGCGCTATGAAGGCGGGCAGCGTGAATGTGGGCTCAGCTTTGCTAAAGCTGTGGCTGGATTTGATTCGTCAGCTCGGGGGTGAAATAGTGCCCCTTGATGGGGCCGTGATGATGAATCCAGAGTCGTGGCCAGAGCCAGGGTTCTCTGCCCAGCTGTAGGGATTACGGTTTCTCCATTGGTACAATGTATGTCGTCCAAGCTAGCGCTGCCCCGTAGAACTTTCCAGAATGATGGAAATGTTCTGTAACCACCCCTGTCCACTACAGTAGCCCCTAGCCCCCATGGAGCCACAGAGCACTTGAAAGGTGTCTAGTTGGAGGAAACGAATTGTTCACTTTATTTTTCATTACTCTCTTGGTAAATTTAAATAACCACATGGCGCTGGTGGTGTAATTCTAGGTGCTTCTGTCCTGAGAACATTGAGCGTTAGGAATTTGTAGCATTAAGAGCACACCTTGTTTTGATTACAGAAGTTAAGAAGGAAAAAAAAAAAAAACTCGTAGCCAAAACTAATAATGAAGTTGCCTTGGGGAGATGTTGCCAGCCTGTTTGATTCTGACATCCGTAGATGGGACACCCTCTTGCGTGTTTCCACAGATGGTGGTGTGAAACCTCAGGCCATAGTTCTGTGCTGGTCCATCTGGAGGACCCAGGTGTTCTTGGCCTGGACCAAAATTCACATTTCAGTTCATTGTCAAGAGTTTATGTGGGTGTTTCCTGAAGGCTGGGGCACACACCCCCGAGATACAAAGGCAAACACCGAAATGGAATCAGACATGGTGATGTCACCGGGACTCAGTTCTTCTTTAATTCCTGCCCTAGCTTGAAGGGGAGAGTTTGTTGTGACACCCATTTAACACCTGGCTAATCTCCTTTATAACAAAACCGGACAGCTGGCCTCAACCTCAGAATCCGAATTAGAACCCAACGATCCTTTGTGTGTATATTTTGCAGATAGTTAAGTAGCATCCTTTTAAAATAAATTTGTCCAAGTTTATAAAAGTGAGCACATTTAGATAAAAATATTAAGTGGACAACAACATAAGGGCTACCAGAGAGAGTAAAAAAATTGGGAAGACAATATACAGATAATTATACACACATGCTTCGAGTTGAGAAACCATGGGCTAAGGCCCTTTACAGCCTAACACAAATGTGACAGAATGACCATATATGGAGTTTTCTTACTGAAGGTGACCATGGCTGCATTTCTGTAGGGTGTTTAGACTTGGGAGTTGGGGGAGGTAAGGAAAAAGGACTTTCATATATGCTAAAGAAGACCCTGGGGTGCTGTAGGCTTGGCTACCAGCAAGCTAAGGTTGTTTTAGCCCCTAGCAAAGCCTGAAGAGTAGGATAATTGGAAGTTTCCTGGAGGAATGTCACATATACCCACCCAGGAGTGGGGGGTGGGGGTAGGTTGCAGGTTGTCAGCCAGTGCTTTGTCCTCAGCTACCCTTCTGCTCCCTTATCAATGCTACGCGGTCTCTCTCTGAGCACTCTGCTGCTTTCTGGGAAGGCATTCCTGCTTCCCTGCCTGGGGCCACAGGGGACTCTCAGTCCTTGGCCTAGGGCTGAGTCAGTGTGGGCCCAAAGCAGCCCCCACTCCCTCCCCCCTCCCCTGTACCCTGCCTAACCCTGTCAGTCCTGTCCTGCAAGTTTTCAAATGTTTTGCATGCAATCTCCAACAGACTTCTGAGAAGTCATCCCCACACATGCACTTGACACCTAACATTTAGTTAACGTCTAAAATTTTCATCATAAATTGCAAAGAATGACATTTTTTTGAAACAGATTTTATTTCTTTATTTGAGAGAGAGTGAAAGCGATCACAGAAGGAGAGGGAGAAGCAGACTCGCCGCTGAGCAGGGCGCCCGATGCGGGGCTCGATCCCAGGACCCTGAGATCATGACCTGAGCTGAAGGCAGACGCTTAACCCACTGAGCCACCCAGGCGCCCCTAAAAGCATGGCATTTTTAACATGTGATAAATCAGGCAATTTTGAGCAAAACGATGACTTCATTCTTTTAGATGTATCTGCATGACATGAAGTTTTATTTACTATCATTTATTTTAAAAATACATTGATGTGATGTGGGCCAGGAGCGAACGGTGAAGAAAGAATTCTTGAGACATGTTAGGTGCAGAAAGGTGCTCTTATTAAAGCACAGGGACAGGACCCGTGAGCAGAGAGATCTGCACTGGGAGTGTGAGGAGCTATTGATTATATATAGTTTTAAGTTGGTGGGTAGAGATAAAGGGAGTTCCCAAAAGGATTTTCATATGCTGAAGAAGACTTCCAGGATCCTGGAGGCCTGGCTGTGATCAAGCTAAGCATTAACAAGAAGGCAGTCCTGAGTTCCTGGAGGAATGTCTTACTCTGCCTGACTCAGGTATTTGTCATTTGGCTGCAAGTTGTAAGGAAATTTAATTTTATCCACTTTCTTTTGCCTTAGTTCTCCTCATTATTTCTTGAACTCCTTTTTCCATTGCAAATAGGCTACCGAATTTTATCCTAATATATTTATTCTTCAAAGACATCTTTCATCATAAATATGTACATGAATTGTATGTATATATACTTATGTATATAATATATCTCCTGTGACCTTAAGATTCTGCATGTTAAAAAGAATCTGGATTGAGATATGATTATAATTTATTAAGACAGTATGATTATATTACAAATGTGGATGAAGGACTATTATACGTAAAAAGTAATCTATTTTACATCTCTCGGTGAGGGGAATGAGAAGTCTTTTCTCAAGTTAATTCATGTGCCCATGAAAAGATAGGACTTACTGCTAGAAGGAGAGGGGCGCCTGGCTAGTTCAGTCAGTAGAGTAGGTGACTGTGGACCTCGGGGCTGTAGGTTCGAGCCCCACATTGTTGGATGCAGAGATGACTTAGAAATGAAATCTTAAAAGAAAAAGAAAGACAGGAGGGTGGAGCCTTCAGTGGACAGTAACTGTGAACAGGGGAAGACACAGGCTGCTGGTGAGCTGAGGTTCTGGAGAAGGGGAGAAGAAGCTGACCTGTGGTTCCTCCTTGCCATTCAGGGGACCGGCGAGAATGCAGAGAAGGAGCCCTCCCATGCAGACTGCTATTTATCAGCTTGATTTTGAGACATCCCAAGTACTCGAATTCTGAGTTGGATAGATAGGTGACAGGTGGGCAGCAGGATGGACACAGAGCCGGGTGCGAGTTTATGGATTTATCACATGTTGCTGCCTTTGGCATTTCTTATCAATACTGTAAGCGCTCCTTCAGGAATGATGCATCCTGCAGCAGGAATCAGGACGAGAAGAATTCAGAAGTGTCAAACTGCCTTGTTTCTTCCAGCAAGCTTTGGTCTTAAAAAAGAATAAGAGGGGAGAACATGGGGATTCTAACTCCAGCATGCCATGCCTTGCTCAGCTATTGGAATCAGCATCCTGACGTGTCCCCCTGGTGCCCTGGGAGACTTGGCACCCGGGGACCGTGCCTGCTAGGAAGATTCCAGATGGGTAGGGTGTGCTGTGCGTTTGTCACAAGTGGAAAGGGAGAGGCTGTGTGAAGGTGAGCCTGTTCTCAGGCTGGTGTTTTTAGGAAGAACACAGGGAGGCTGAGTCATCTGGACATGGATTCTCAGTGCCCCCAGGGATTGCATGCCCACCTGAAGACTCAGACCCTGTGGGCAGAGGTGTCTCTGCCAAGACGCTCCATGCCCCAGTCTTAAAACCCAGGCCCTTCAAGTGCAGTCCCTTCTTGCCCGTGCCACACCCCAGAGAGCTCCGTCCCATCCTACACCTGACCTGTTCTTCTCCACTGTGACCCTAGGGCGTGGGTGCTGCTGGAGGCGGGGAAGGGTGGGATAAAGCCTGGGTGGGTTGGGGCGACCTTGCCTTCGCGGTGGGAGAGTGGCCTGGTGGGGTGTTCTGAGATTGGGTGAGGAGCAGGACCTTGCTCTGAGGGCCAGACTCCTCGTTTCCCAGACACTGGGTGTGGGGCGGGGGCAGGAGACCTCTGGCCGGCAGCTGGACTCCTCCGTGCTTTGACAGATGCTCTGCGTGAGCAGAACCGCCAGCCCCTCGGCTGCCATGAAGCTCATTTCCCCCAGAGACTTCGTGGACTTGGTGCTCGTCAGGAAGTACGAGGATGGGACCCTCAGTTCCAATGGTGAGTGACAGCCGGGGTGTCACCAGCTGCAGGGGAGCGCGTGCCATGGGGGGCCAAGGTGAGAGGGTGCACAGGCCAGTCATCCGACAGTGACCTCCCACATGTGGCCAGCACCCCTTGTCGTCGCTGCTGAGGCTCAAGGTCTCCAGTGTCGGTGTGCAGGGCTGTCACGCTGTCCCCTCCCTCCGGCCTCGGCGCATGTCCCACTGCCTCCCGAAAGCTGCAGCCCCTGCCATTCCTGCAGATCTTCCACGTGGGGACAGAGGGTGGGTCGGAGGGGGTGCCTGCCTCCTGCCGCCAAGCCTTACCCTGTGGAATGTTCTTTTCTCTGAGATGCCGCAGGCTTGGGAAGCCGTGAACGTGGGTGGGTGCGTGGGTGGGTTTGTATGTGTACGTATGTGAGTGTGTGTGTGTGAGGGTAAGGGATGGTGGGGGGGCTCAGGGGCAAGCCCCGGGGCGCCGTGCTGACTCCTCGGGCTCCAGATGGGGGTTCTGCACGCGCTAGGGGTGAGGGTGCAGCTCACCCCCCGTTTTGCGCTGTCTTCCAGCTATCAACGTGGAGCACCCATCGTGTCCCCCGAAGCCAGGTTATGTGAGGGGCTTTAACCACCCTTGTGGCTGCTTCTGCGAGCCTCTGCCAGGGTAAGGACAATCTCCTGGACTGAGGGACATGCCCAGACCTGCCCACAGCTTAATCGTGGACCTTCTGTTCAATGGCGCATTAATTACAGTTTGCAGTAGTAAACCTGCCTTACGGCCCCGCGGGCTTTGACATTACAGAGCACTGTTCTGAACATGTCAGTGACGCAGCGTGCCCACACACTGGCACAAGGGACAGAATTGTGGGAGGCGTCACTCCCCCTCCAGCCCCGTAAGGCAAGCTGGGCAAAGGTCCTGGTCCCACGTAGCAGATGAGAGAACGGGCTCAGGGAGGTCAAGGGATCTCTCCCGGGTCGGAGACTTCAGAGGCTGGCAGTGCAGGGCCGGAGGAGGGCCAGGCCCTCGCTTCTGTGCTCTCTGGCCTCTGTCCACCGGCCCGGAGCGGCTGTCCCCACCCCATGTCCCCTCCACGAGGAATGGGCTGGAGGTGCCAGAGGCTAAGCCGTCAGTCAGCCCGCGAGCTGAGCTCGGGGATGGTTCTGTCCCACTGTCTCATTTCTCATTCGCACTTTTGAGAACATAGGCGCCCCAGCCCCCGGGGCCGATACTCAGAGTAGAAGAGCCACAGACCAGAGCAGCACGTTCTGCCTTGCGTTGCTCACCTGCCCAGCCCAGCCCCCTCCAGGCCTCAGTTGCCCTGTCTGTGCGACTCGGAGGAGGCCAGGGTTTTAAAGGGTCTAGGCCCTTGGCCTCTGACGGACAGGTGCCGTGCTGGGTGGGGTTCCTGATGACGAATCCCAGTGTCACAGCCTTGTCTCCCAGGGTGAGTGCTCCTCGGTGGCCCGGTGCCCGGCCCCAGCGCCCTGCTCCAGACGCATGATGCGGCTCTGCCTCTGTTTCCCTAGGGAGCCCGACAAGACCAACCTGGTCACGTTCTTCCAGACCGACCTCAGCGGCTACCTCCCGCGGAGCGTGGTGGACTCCTTCTTCCCCCGCAGCATGGCGGGGTTCTACGCCAACCTGGAGAAAGCCGTGAGGACCTTGTACGACTGACGTTCTCACCTGCTGGCCGAGGGCTCCCGTGACTCACGCAGAGCTCCCGATGGCGGGGTACCGGAGAGCCCCGAGGGCCGGTTTTCAGCCTTTGGGACCCACTTGGGGACAGCTCGTCTCCGAGAAGCTGGCTGGAGTGGCCCCCGCCGCCCCGCTCCCCTGCCCCCTCGGGGCCGGCTTGGGGGAGTCGCTCCTGTGCCCTCTCTGCTGGTTGTCCCCACACCTGCAGCCAGTGGACCCCAGGGCATGCGCTCCGGTCTGAAGCCTGCGTGTGCCAGTCTCCGCCACAGACCGCCTGCCCCCCACCCCGCCCCGTCTGCCAGAAAGAACCCCCATCGACACCGAGAGCCAGGCTCTGCTGCCTCGTGAGTATCCGGTGCCCTCCAGCCCGATAACACTGCGCCAGATTTCCCCCCTTAAAAAGATAACGGCTTGGAAAATATTGTTTTAACAAATGAGATAAGCGCCGAGGAAAAATACATTCAGTGTTTCTTTCTGAATCGGTCGTTTCCGCTCTCTGCTGCTGCGCTAACTGCCGTGTCCCCAGCGAACCCAGGCAGCCTGCATCTGCGCCAAGCCGACTGCCGCCTTGGGGCGGGTAGTGTCTGGAATGATGGTGAGCGGGGCAGGCCTCTCCTGCCTCTGAGGAGCGCCTTCTCTCCCTCGGCGTTCGCCTTCTCCTCCCCGCTGTCTGGAGGCCGGGCTGGGGTCCTTGCTGGTCGGGCCACACTCCTGTCAGCATTCAGGACGGGAGGGCAGGTCCCCTCCGGCGGCCCTGGCTGGAGTCCCCGCTCCAGGCTCTGCTCTGAGACCGCACGGGCCCGCACCAGCCTGGCCCAGAGTGTGGGTCGTCGGACCGGGGAGCACGGCCTTGCCACCCGGAAGGGGCCTCGGCAGTCACACGAGGTCCCTTGCCTGTCTCCGGTCGGGACCGCTCAGCCTGTGGGTGAGGGACACCCCCGTGTCTGGCCACAGTGTCCTCGTGTCGGCAGTGAGGACAAGTGGAAGACAGCCCCCTTGTGCGCAGTAGCTCATTCCCCACCCTCGAGTCCTGGGGTGTCTGTCTCCGAATGTGCCGACGTGCGAGCAAGCTTTGAAACAGGAAAGCTCCGTGTCAAGGGCTTAGAGAGAGCCGCCGCCTTATGGGTTGTGATGTGACTACAGACCCCACAGTCATGCCGTTGGGATGATCCAGCTAACTTACCAAGAAATCTTCATCAGACTCTTGGATTTATTTAGATTTCATTCCCTCAGTAAGTACGTAGCAGGTCCTTACTCTGCTGGGCAGCAGCTCAGGAGACCCCGCAAGCCGCCATGCCATCCTGTCGAGCAGGGTGGAAAGCCAGCCCCCCGAGGACCTGGGTCACGGGCTCCATCGGGTGAAACTGTGCGCTGGACTAGGAGTCTGAAAACATGCACCTGGTCCGGCGCCTACCACGCACTCGGAATTTCTGTTCCTGAACAGTGCTTTCACCCGCCCCTGCTTCGACGTCCTGACTTTATAGGACAAGGTGGGGACGTGAATAGCAATCCGGACGTAGCCTGCTGCTTGAGTCCGTGCAGATGAAATGATGTATGGTCTGGTAAGACACGGCTCAAAGCAAAGCACCGGGGCAGCCTGGGAGAGGCCCTGGGGAGGGTGCATGTCCATGGGGTGGAAGTGGGTCCCTGGCGGTGTTTGGGGATGACCGGAAACCGCTTGCCGAGGCGCTGTTCTGTGCCTCTCCTCCGCTCTGAAGACGTTGGCCAGGGACAGCCGAATGTCCCATGTAAATCCAGCACCACGAAGTGCTAATGGATGAGCTCTCGTGTTAAGACCCTGCTGGCTCCTGGACTGAGGATCCCCCCACCCCACCCCAGCCCCTGAGCCTGGAGACTGGAAACTTGACCCGTGGTGGCGTCCTGAGTTGGGGAGAGGGGGACCTTCTGAAGCAGGAGGAGGGACTGGGAGGACTGCGGGCTCACTCCTAGCTGTGCCCTAGTCCTGAGACAAGCCTGCCAGACCTGCAGGACGCCTTCTCTGTGTCCCTGGCCCATGGCCCACCCTGTGCTTCTGTGTGTAACTGGCTCCCAGGGCTGACGGAAGGCCCCTCCTCCTTCCCTGGGCTGGACCACAGGCCTGACCTGGCTGCTTGCCCGGCAGTTGCCCAGTTGTCTCTGCGAGATGGCGGGGGCCTGGGTGTACCTCTGAGTGTGCGTGGCCTCATCGGCCAGCCCAGGGCAGGACAGGTAGGATCCTGTGGAGTGCATGTGGAACTCAGTCAGCCTTCCAGGGCTGGATCGCGGCGATCGTCGGTGTTCATTAAACCTGAAGAACCGGTCCACGCAGTGTCTCAGAGTCCTTGTCTGTGTGTAGGGCTTGACAAAATTCAGAAGGGATGCACAAGGCAGGAAGCAGGACGCGACTACTGTAAGCCCGCTGCTTCCCGGGATGAATGGGTCAGCGAGCTGATGCCCACTGCAGTGACATCACACACAGCGTTTGCGTGAAGAGGGGCCCCCGGCGGGTTTTCTACGAGTTCACTGCCAGGAAACAGTCTTTGCTTCCTGTGGACCCTGGAGAAGCCACCAGATTCCACTGACATGGCCCCAGCGCTCCTGGCCTTGGCGTAACTCGTTTGCATGTTGCCTCCAGTTTCCACCGTGATCACGGGGCTGGGGCAGGGCTGGGACGCTGCCCGGGGTCTGTTGCTGCTAATACGCACCTTTGTCCTGAGCGTGGCCGTCAGGCATTAAGAGTTGAACAAACCAAATACCCCTTTGGTCAGGCACTGTTCCGTCTGTACCAGATCCCAGAAAAGCAGGACTTAACCTCTGCCCCATCATCCACCAGCTCGGATGGGTCACCTGCTGTCTCCCGGTCTTGGTGCCCTCATCAGTATGTAGGTACCACTGTGATTATTAAAGACCGTGTCCAGGGGCGCCTGGGTGGCTCAGTCGTTAAGCGTCTGCCTTCGGCTCAGGTCATGATCCCAGGGTCCTGGGATCGAGCCCCGCATCGGGCTC